CCCCCCCACACACACACACACACACACACACACACACAAATACCATCAGTGATGCTGGCTTTTAAACTTTGCACTGATTTGCAGTTTACAAAGTGGTGAACCTCACCCCATCCTGGCTTATGAACGACTGAGCCTTTCAGGGATGCTCCCTTTATACCTAGTCATGACACTCACATGTTTCCTACCATGTGGAATGCTCCAAACAGGTGCTTTTTTTTTTTTTTTGCTTTTTTTTGTGAGAATTCCTCAACTTTCTCAGTCTTTTGTTACCCCTGTCCCAGCTTTTGTAGAACGTGTTGCAGGCATCAAATTCAAAATAACTCAATGTTTGCAAAAACCTTTATCCATTTCAACATTTAGTATCTTGTCTTTATAGGACATTTAATTGAATATAAGGTAAAAATGATTTGCAAATCATCATTTTTTTTGTTAATTACGTTTTACACAACGTCCCCCCTTTATACCATGATGCCACAGATTACGCAGATTGTTGCGTAATACAAACAGGTGATAAAGGTCACTGATGACCTGCATTTTGTAGAATACAGATGTCAATTAAGAAATTGCACGTAACAAAACCCAACATTACAGATAACTGATTTTAAGAACAGAAGTTTTGTCTGGGAGTTTTTCAGCTTGTGAGTTACTACTTTTAATTTTATTGGCCTTAAAGGACACAGTCTGAAGAGGTTCCAAAGCCAATTCAGAATTGGTCACAACGCGTGCCTTGGTACCCTCGTTTACTTCATAGTTGTTTCCTTTTTGTGAAGTTCTGCTTATTTCTCTCATCTGTAAGCCCCCCTCTGCTCCAACGATTTCCTCTATGACATTATTTTCACCGCAGTCCTCCCTGTGYATGTTGACGATTCTGTTACATTTCTGTGGCTGGAGCACAATGCCCCCCCACTCCTCGGTGGGCCGCTGAACCTCAGTGCCAACCCTGTCGTTACTCTTCACTTTACGGGACGTGCGACACAGGGCCTTCCTGAAGCCTCTCTTGAAGTTGTCGGACAAGAATCCGTACAGTATGGGGTTGGCACAGCTGTTTGCGTATGAAAGCACAACAACAAAGTAGTAGAGTCCCCTGAAGTCTCCAGGCAGGACCACGACAAGGTTTAGGATGTTGAGAGCGTAGAACGGCAGCCAGCAGAGAACAAAGACCGCAACAACAACTACCACCATCCTGGTGATTTTTCGCTCAGATTTCCTGCGCCTGGATGACGTGGCTTGTGTCCGTTTTCCAACTGTCTTCACCTTTTGAAAGAAAAATAAATGGTCAGGCGCTTTCATCAATTGTCTTCTGAAACACATTTTAAAGGGATAGTTCAGACTGACAGCCAGTGGTGGGCACAGTTCCCCTAAAGCACTAATAGGGGAACTAATTTCCTGATTAGTGCTTTAGGGCTTTTGCTAATTTTAAAATTTATTAGTGGATTAGCACTTGCTAAATTTAGAAGCACTAACTGAGGTCTGTAAATGATATTGATCATCATTAATGTTAACAGCTGAGGGTGAAATTTGTCAAATTTTGTTCATATGTATGTCACTTATCTACCAGGTGACAATATATTGACAATATACTGTATTAACTCAAATCCAGCTGTGGAATGTCAATGATAAGAATTAAGAGAGCAAMATGCCAATATGTGACTCATGTTGCCTGTTGAAGAACATTCGTGGGTTGACTGGGTTATTTTAGTGCTATAGAATTAGTTTTTACAAAACATTTCAGTGCGTTAGTGCTTTAAACTTAGGGGTTTTAAATATTTGAGTTTATGATTTAGGGCTAGTGGAACTAATTTTTAGATTAGTGCTGCCCACCACTGCTGACAGCAAACATCACAGTGGTTTGCTGCTGTCTTAAGACAACTTCAGTCCAAAGAAACAAACGATTCATGCAGTCACTATTTTTTCAGCATCAGTTTTGAAATGTTCGGTAATAGTCAATTACGTCCAATTCCATTGTTATTTGCAACTACAAATAGGAGCAGTAGCTAAGGCTAGCACTTTAGGTTTGAGTTGAGAACATTTCTGCCAGAACTAGCTTAAGATTTCACAACTCAAAATCTTTCGAGGTTGGAGTTGTACCAGTCCACTTACATCAATCTGCTTACTAAAATTACCAAACAGCAAAGCTATGAACTTCTCATGAAAAGGAAAAAAATAAATAAATGTTTTCCACAATGAAGTCAAAATGACGTCTACATTAAGTAAGATATTATTTCTCCTTTTACTCAAACCACATTTCAAACTATCTAAGCTTTGACAGTTAAGGAAATAAAATGATTTAAAGATTTCCCCATTAATCCCAGAGCTATAGCACTCATTAGCACTCAAGATTGAAATCCTGATCAACGACCTTTTATTTACAAATATACACTCACCGGCCACTTTATTAGGTACACCACGCTAGTAACGGGTTGGACCCCCTTTTGCCTTCAGAACTGCCTCAATTCTTCG